ACTCCAAGATTCTTGAGGCCCCTTGGGTGCAGAGTGGGGCAATCAGATAAGGATTGGGGGTGCCAGAACAGGTGAAGAGAATGGGATGGAGCATGACTTTTCAGGACGTCAGTGGGTCTGACCAGAGCTGAGCTCCAGGAAAGATGTAGATTCAGGTTCAGGAGATGGCCAGCCCGGAACCTCTTGGGAGCTGATCCAACCCTACAGTCTCCCAGTCCCCATTCAGTCCCCATCTGATTGAGCACAAGCTGCCTGTGTGAAAGAACCACGGCCTGGTTCTTCCTGCCTACTTTTCGCCACCATCCAGTACGGGCTTCCCATCCACAACTATATCCCAGTGGCTCTATGACTCCAGACTTTGCTGACTTTGAACTGCTTTATGTGGGTAATAGATAATAGTCATTTCAATGGGCCAAACACTCGTCGGCCACTGCATTTCCATCTATGGATGAGCCATAATTCACCCAACCAACCATTTCCCCCAGCCTCAGATGTTTACATTCTTTCCAAATTTCTACTAGTAAATTTACCATGATGAAAATTTGCACATAAAACTTTTACTGCCATCACTTGCAACTCTAAAATATCTAATACTCTTCGATGAAACCTGCTAATGGTTATTTTCTCAAGTTCAAGTTCAAATCTCAAACACTACTTTCTTCTCAAAGGATGCATTTGGAGATCATTTGATAAAGTTCAATACAGTTAACCATTGAGCAATGCGAGGGTTAGGGGCACAGTCAAGAATCCACATGTAATTTCTGACTCCCCCAAAACTTTACTAATAGCCTACTGTTGACCGGCAACTTTACCCATAACATAAAGTTAATTAACACACATTTTGTACATTATATGCATTATATATTGTATTCTTACAATAAAGTAAGCTAGAGGAAAGAAAATGTTAGGACAATGGTAAAAAAAAAATTTATTTACAGTATTTATCAAATAAGTCCACATATAAGTGGACCTGAGGGGCTCAAACTCCTATGGTTCAAGGGTCAACTGTACCTGTTAAGGATTTTTTGAAAACCTCTTAGCGAGCAAAAAATAAAAGGTAATTTCCTTAACCTGATAAAGATACCTACCAGAAATCTCAGCAAACATCTTACTTAATGGTTCCCTTAAAAGTCAGGTATGAGAAATGAATGCCCGTTATCACTGCTTCTATCAATACTGGAGGTCCTAGAAGAAAAGATAAAAGAAAAACAAGAGACTGCTGCCTCATCCAAGGGTGTAGAGAAACAGGCATATTCTCATTCACGGCTTGTATGAGAAGTTCGACCTTTAAGAGTGGCAATTTGACAATATATAGGACTTAGAGATGTTCATACTTTCTGATCCAGCACCACCACCACGGTGAACACACCTGGAGGAAAAACTTAAGGCTGTACACAAAGATGTTGAGTATTAAGGTGCGCTCTCTCAAGAACTACCTTGAACAGGAACCGCCTAACAACAAGGTACTGGTTATGTGAATTCTGGCATGAGCACGTGATGGCCTACTAGTCACTGAAAATACTGCTGTATAAGAGCATTTACTGGAAAGACAGCTTTAATCTACCTTTTTGTGTGTGTCTACACACACGCACACAAACAAGAACATACTGGAAAAGCCCGTACCAGAATACTGATGATTCCTTATGCTCTGTTTTGCAAATTTTCTTAAAATACATGCTTTTTTAATTAGAAAAAATACTGCATTTTTAAATACTGCCTCAAATGATTGCTGTAGGCAGCAAAGAAAGTGGCTCAGAAAGAGTAAAGGGAGACTTTAGGAGGGGGGCAGGCTGCAGCTATACACATGATCACAACTCTCCATTCATCTAGAATCCATAAGACCAGGAAGCTAAATTGCATTCCTATTGTTCTGTTTTATCAAAACAAAGGAAAATGACGAATCTAAAGGTTAATTTTAAATACACACATACATTCACACACACATTCTTAAATAAACTCTCCGTTTACTCATACTCGGGAACCCGCTATTCTGCCAAGTTCTCCAAAGGTCACAGGCCACCTTGCAACCCAGTGATTAGAATGGAGGAGATGGAGCTTACTGGGCGGTTTCCCTGGATCACGTGACTGGGGCGGGGGGAGCTGAAGAGGTCAACAGCGCCATGTCAATGGCACAACAGTATTCTACGCGTGAGCTCGGAGAGAAAAACAGCGCAAAAGCTACAACAATGAGAATCTTTATGCACGTATCTCTGTAATCGGTACAATCATTCAGAACAACAGAGACCCAAAAAAGGAATACAATGTTTCAGTGATGGCCCAGAGGTCAACATTACAAACTAGGTTTAAATCATCTGGAGGCTTCTGTAAGAGGACTGGGGTGCAGAAGCATCGGAAGGAGTCGACTCCCCACACAAGTGCTGACAGGGGACAGACCTAGCTAGAAACAAAGAAACCGCTACTTGGTAAGTACTTCTGGTGCTTGCATACAGTGTCCAGTACACACAGACGATAACAAGTCCATACTGGTCTTTGCCCATGCGGTGTGGTAGAGGCTACTGCACATGTCTTCATTTTCTAAAGTAGGCAAGGCTCCAAAATTGACCGATTCACATCGTGAGTACACGGTACAATGCATGCACGTTATTGGTACAGAGAGTGCTTCAACAGAAACCCATCGGTTTTTAAAATCCTGACAAGGTCATTTTTACCTCAAAGGATTATTACACTTTCATTTCTTCGTTCTTTCATTTGGGATCAGTACTTATTCCAAAGCATGTGCCAACTCATCCGTCCCTTTCTCAGAAAGACCAACATGGGGGAAATGGGCAGGGCAGGCGCTGCTAAGTCCAAGGTGCTTGGTAGATAGCAACAGCGCCATCCTAAGGGTGGTGGCAAGTGGCCTCCACCCCAAGCCCCACCTCCCTGAACCCAGATCCTCAGGGAGCTGGGAGCGGCCTCAAGAGAAGAACAATTCTCTATTCGAGTCAGACATCCCTCAAAGGAATGAGTCTATTCTGACTCATGTGGGTCGGGGGAGGAGAAAAGAATCTAAGGTGGAGTCATTCTTATCTGTAAAGTTTTAGCAGATGGAAGAAAATCATGTCATTTCCTTAATTTTGGAAAATGCACTGGGTCCCATCCCCTGGGGGTGGAATGCAAAGTAAGCCCAACATTCCACCTACACTCTTCCCAAGACAGAGGTGGTGGGCATCGCTGCTTTTTAAGAAGCTGCGTGCTAACTTCAGATGGCACAGAATTCAAGACCCAAACCGCAATGACTTATTAGTCATACTTTCCACCTTCAGCTCCTTCGGGGGTAAAAATAGCACAGAAAGGATAAAATGGCTTTTCTCACTGTATGTCATTCTTGTGTTTTCTGTTCAAAAGAGCCCACACAACCACATTCTCTATTATAAAAATTAATACCTCTCATAGTAAAAGCCTTCTCTAAAATTATAGCTTTGGTTTCAGAACTAGCAACCCAATTAGCTCAAATTAACATCGACTGCATCAACAATATGCCAGGAAGTGCGGCCAAGGTCTTTCAGAGATGAGGATAAAGATGCTGAGTCTATTCTTCTAATGACAGTAAGAGATGGGGGCTGAGGAGTGAGCCTTTGTTCAGACAAATGACAGCTGTATGAAGCATTTTTAAAATGAGATACCTTTTTGGGTAAAAAGGTTAGAGCTGGTTTTGTGAAATGCCATCACAGGACCCTAACGTCTGGAGAAAGGTCCTCTGAATCAGGAGGGAGCATAGTGAATGGCTTCCCGGTCCTGGTGTTTAGAACCCATGTAGCCAATGCATCTGTGTACAAAGAGCATTAAATCCACCTACGGTGCTGGAGGAGACGTGACTGAGTCACACTGAATACCAGGAGTATTTACCTTGAGTGTCTGAGTGCTACTTCACCTCTGTTGTGGCTCAGAGTTCCCATCTGCATAGTGGAAATAACAGGTGCTCTCTGACCCGCTGGGACCGGGGGAGAGGTGGGTAAGAGAGAGCTAGAAAGCACTAGTGCCTTCTCCAAAGAAAGGCAGTGTTCAAGTAACAAAGTACTCAACAAAGTACTCCAATCAAAAAAGCACAAAATTCAAGTAACAGAATTGCAGGTGCTATGTTCTGGCTTTTGAGCAGCAGAGGCCTCGCGGCATCTGCCGAGAAGAGCTGGTAGGTAAATGAGCTACGTGGCAGAAGATGCAGGACAAGCTCCGTATGGAGCCCATCGAGTCCTCCCACCACTGAGGACTGTAACTCTTCGTCAGAGGAGAAAATGAACCTTGGGAAAAGCTTCGTGGAATCAGCAAGCTGTTCAGGGCGATTGTTTAATGCATATCCCATGTGTGTTCTCTGCATAAGATCTTCAAGTTGGTGGACCAACCTAAATTTCAACAGATAGAGGTTTTCTTCATTTTGCAGGTAGAAAGAGAAAGAAAGGCTATCTACATTTTTCTCCTGCACTTTAGCATAAGAATAAAAAAACAATCTTGAGCCTAGCCAAAAGAAACTACTGAAGAAAAACACACACACAAACATTCCCTCAGTGGGGCAGGAAGAGGGAAATTGGGAAGTTTTTTGCAACTAAGAAACTTACTTCCTTTTTACAGTTTCTGTTCTAGCAAGTTAGTGTGTGCATGCTTGAGGATCAGTAACACCCAGAGAACCAGAGAAGGTCTGGGGGAGTGCGGTCACAGGGACCCTGAAGGTCCTCAGAACAGGAAGGAAGAGGGGGTTAACAGTCTAGATGCACAGTCTTGTCTAAACAATTCACAATGAAAAATTGGGAAAACTTCACACTTTAAAACTACAATATTTATTCTGCCACAAGAATTCACTGGATCCGTTATCGGTGGGTGGGGGAAAACATACCCATTCTAGCTCCCATTATAAAACTTCCAGTTCCCATTTTCACGGACTGGTGTTCATCTCACTATCTATTAGTTTTCACTGGACAGTCAAAAAACTCTTTTGGAGCCATTCAGCTGGACCCCTTAGACCGCCATGAGAAGGTGAATCTAGATTCAGTTTCTGAGGGCCATCATCGTTTCTTAGTGCTACTGTTTCCACCACCCGATTTGCTGAAGCTCCTGCTCATGTGAGGAAAGTGCACGGTTGGGGTTCTTTCCGTAGGACCATACAGTCCCAAATTCCTGGCGGTGGCTGACTTCCGCAGTGGCTTGACGCTGGGGAAAGGGCTAAAGATGGGCGCTTTCGGGTGGCTGCCCTGGGGAGGTTTGCTGGGGGCTCTGGTTTCACCAGGGGCATCAGGCAGCTCTGGGAAGTGCTGCGGGCAGGGCGGGTGTGCCTTGGGCTCAGGGTCAGCAGCAGCAGCATCCCTCCGGTTCAGTTCTAAGGCTTCTAACTTCACCTGGACCGCAGACACATCGGCATCGGCATCCCCGAACACGGGCTCTGGAGACTGCCCTTCGATCGTCCTCCCGGTGCTGCCTTCGGAGCAGCGACCCTCTCTCCCAGCTGCTGCCGCACACCTGGAGGAAGCCGCCGCTGCCCCCAGGCTGTTAGCCCTGCAGCCCTCATTCTGCTCCTCTATCAGCCCCACGGTGTCCCCACAGCCCAGCTGATTCTTGGTCCTCGTCATGTTCTTTTTGTGGACGCGGATGTGCGTTCGCCATGGGGAATTGAGCTTCGTCTTCAGGTCTTCATAGGGGACAGGAGACATCTTGCCTCCTGTGTGACCAGGGACGTGGATGACAGCATTCTTGGCAGGTCTGTTTGACATTTTCATCTTCTTTCCTAAAAGAAGGTGGTTGATAACTGGAGAGTTGTTTACCTGAGATGGGAGAATGCTGGTCACTGGCCCTTTGTCTGAAAGAAATGGTGAAAGGCTGGATGAAACGGACCACAGAGAAACCATCCGTTGTGGCACAGGAATCACATAGAGCTTGTCCCCCAATCCTGGCCGTGTATTTCCCAGGTTTTGGCAGAGCCATGTGACTGAAGGTAACAAAAACTGAACTCAATCCTAGAGCCCGGGGTGCCTATTCCCTCCTCTTCAGAGAGGAGGAGACACGAGGCTGAGGATACAAAAGAAGCAGACTCTGGTCCCTCGTTACTAATTCAAGTGCAGATGCCCTACTGTTTCTTCCCAACAGTTTCTGTCTCTGGGAAACAACCTCAGAGGTCTTGTATCTAGACAATCTTAGAAGACTTTTTTAAAAATAAGTCAAACACTATGACCATATGGATTATCAGCTATTAGCTTCTGAGAAGTAGGAAAAGAACACACCGCGTATGATGAAGTGAGAGACAGCAGGATGACAGAAGTGATAAGAAGGTCGTAAAAACGCAGTGAAGTCACTGCTCCCCGATGCCTGGTCTTAAGTACGAAAATCCATTCCTGTGTCCTCAATGGACTTTGAAAGGAAACTGAAAACTGGAAAGCACCAAAAGCTGTGTGCTCCTGGAGGGCACCGTTGATAGTACTATTATCCTCCTCCTCCCATGGCTACGACCAAGCCCCTATTTCAGATGGTGCGCAAACACACACAGCCCCAGGGAGAAGGCCCCACCATCTTCATGTGAACAACCTTCTTCCTGACATCCATGTCATCAGCTGAACTCACTTCTACACTTCTCGACTATTGTCATCTACCTCTGGTCACACTCCAGTCCTTCCTGAAGATGCTGACAACTGTCTCCTCTTCACCTCATATACTATTATGCCCCTCAGTTACTTTACTGTTTCTCTGACTGATCCATCTTCATGCTTCTTCTACCATCCTAAACCTCATCACTCAGATCTACCTTCCCTGAAAAATACTGTAACTCTCCTAATCTTCTCTTTGACTCTTTTAGCTCTCAGGCTCTCAATATAGCCATCTATGGTACTGCACCAAAGAGACTTTGTTTCTTCAATCTTTCAAACTTCCCATAACCCCTCGTCTGTCTCTGAGTCACTTACACCCCAACCAGGCTAGATGCATGGCTGATCACTGGGGCTGCTGCCTCACCGATAACCACACATTCTCAACATCCCCGTGCCTTTATACTTGGCAAAATCCCAAACCTGGACCCACAAATCACATTATCTTTTCCAAAAAGGGGGTGGGGGAGAATCACACAGACATGTGGACTGAAGCCCTTCAGATTCATTAACTTCCTATTTTGTTGGGTCCTCAAAGGCACAGAACAATCCTTTTCTTTCCTTCTTCCATTCCATTACCCATCCAAATCTTCCTTACTTCTGCTCTCCCACTGTAGTCCTCCAACTTACTCCCAAGCAAAGGACATTTCCTCCAATTGCTCCACAAAAACAAAAGCTATCAGATCCAAAAGGCCCTAACTTCCTGTCCTCCCTAACCTGGGAAGGTGGTACCTCAACCACTATCCTACCATCTTCCTTTACATCTCAGAAGCTGAGGTCAGGTGCAAACTTTTCCACCTATGCTGCTAATCCCACCTTATACCATCGCCTCTAAAAGCTTGCTACTCAAACTGGGATCCCCACCCAGCAGCACAGGCTTCTCCTAGGAGCTTGTTGGAAATGCATAATCTCAGCCCTACCCCAAACCTGCTGAAACAGATTCTTCATTTTAACAGATCCCCAAGTGATTTATATGCACACTGAAGTTTCAGAAGCAATCGCTCTAGAACTTTGCCTTCGAGCAACAATCTCTCCCTAAAAAAAAAAATACAGAAAGAGTCAGTGAACTTTTCCTGTAAAGGACCTGACTGTAAATATCTTAGACACTGTAGTGCAAAAGCAGTGATAGACAATATGTAAATAAATGGGCATGCCTGTGTTCCAATAAAACTTTATTTATAAAAAACAGGCAGCTAGCAGGATTTGGCCTGGGGAGCATAGTTTACTGATCCCTGACTAGAGTACAAGGCACTGGGCCGACTTAATACCCACCGCTCACCAACCCACCCAAAATGTGTATGGCGCAGTTAAAAAGGGACTATGCAAAGAATCAGAACACAGGGGTCTAGCCCTGGCCTGACCACCCACCATAGCTACGTAACCCTGCTAAGCCTTCCTGAGTCACCATTTCCTCATCTTTTAAAAGGATGTAAGAATATCCATCCTTACATTCCTCACAGATTTGCTTTAAGGACAAATGAGGATACGTATGAGCCAATCCTTTGAAACCACTTTCTTTCTTTCTTAAGGATTCAGGTTGAAGTAAGAATCTTCAGCAAGTTGCCCACTCCTCCCTTACAAGTGGAAGGTAAGTTCAGTTTTTGTGCAAGATCAGTCACATGCTCACGAGGCTCTTAAAAACATGTCAACTCATATTTTGATTCATACTGGACAGGCATCATAATCATTAGGATTTCACTTAGAACAAGACAAACCACTTCCCAAATCAGCATGTATCAAATAATAAAGCAGACTGTTCACTGGGATTTTTGGAATTTAAAAAGAAAAAGAAAAAGGCAGTTTGACAGTCCTTGGAAAAGAGCACTTCCAACTGTATTCCAATTATGTTCTTCTCAGCAGACCCCCAAGACACTGCTAACCCATCAGTGAGGCACAGGAATGTTTTTTCCCTTTTTCTCTGACCACAACTATCTGTTATATGACTACCTAAATGACTGGTGGATAGCTCAATTTACTAGCACACAGATGAATACGTTCTGGAGACAATAGCTCCAAAATGTCTCAAGTCCAAGGACTGCATGGCTTTTGCAACATTTTAATCATCTGTCAACCCCTCTCCACAAGCACACATAGTAAAGATTTGTTTAATACCATCAATTGTCTGGCTCTTGGTACCTAAAAGGAACACATGGTCTTTTTCTTCTGCAGAGCCTGATAAAATAAAAAATGAGACGCTAAATGTGGGATCAGCTCAAGCCAGCTGTGTTTGTGGATGCTGAGCTAGAGAGAGTTGCAATTTGGAGGCTATCCTGGGAATACTTGTTCTTTCTTTCACAACTGGACACAGAGGTGAAATCGATTCAAACAAAGAATCATATTACCTGCCCTGATATACACCTGATGCACCTGCTGCTGCTGCTTCTTCTTAATCCGAGAATACTGCCGCTTCAGCGCGTTAATATCTGTGGTCATGCGTTCCATCATCATACTGTTGAAAGCTGCATGGTATTCACTTCTACAGGAATTGATTGCTCCTGGACTCAGCTCCGCGATGTTATTAGACCGCAGGCTCTGCTCTTCATTCGGTTCTGCGCTCCAGGGGAGAGAGATAAGGACACGGTGTCACGGAGGTTTAGAAAGGGACTAACTGAGTGCCGATGACACTATGCCCTGGGGTAGTATCTTAATTTCCAGGGAATTCGAACCCCCAAAAATAAAAAATAAACGTTCACTACAGTTTGTCTGGTATGTGTTTTTCTTTGACCCTGAAAAGATTTCTGCATTTTCTTATTGGCCTAACTGTGGATCTGAAATGAGCTGTGTGGGTTCACTGTTGGATTTTTTATTACCACTTTGGTCATTATGTAGACCTAAGATCAACTGTTTCCACATAAAAGTCACTGCCGTTTTCTAAAATTCCTTAGGAAGAGAGAACCCCAGGTGTCTAAAGTCCATTTAGAGATTTGCACATAACTGTGATATATAGACTGATTATAGAGTTTAGTCAGTCATTAGAAATGAGTTTTTCTTAAGTTAAAAATAGCAACACATTCTATAAAATCATCAAAACTTCAGATCACTGCATCTCTAGCAATGAATGTTTTTTTTCTTTTAACAAACATTTCCTGCTGTCTACTATGTGTGTTTTGTCCGATGTGGTTTCTACTCCTGCGGCACCTACAACTAGTAGATTCGGCCCTTAAGTAAAATTGAGATTACATCTAAGAAGCAGAAATAGGCACTGTGTGAGAGTGTATACACATACTCCACAGGATTTTCTAGCACAATACGGAAAAGTGGCCTGGGAACCAGCTTTTAAAAAATAATTAATGGGGGATTTCAACTATGCTAACATCTACTAAAAGTGTTATTCAGATAAAGCCTAAACATCACATAAATTTACTTCCTTTTTCACTGAAAACACTTTTTTAAGGAGAAAAAAATTAAAGGGGACCAGTTAACCTGAACTTACTTAAAACTGACAAGAAAGGCTCAGGATAAAACTTAGGAGAAAGTGATCCTATCATCCTGAAGCACATAACAGCTACACAAAAAGAAAAACAGAAGGGGAAAAAAAAGGGGGGAGGGGGGACACATACCCAGACTACAGAAATGCAGATGCAAAATTTTTAGAGTTAAAATACATATTGATTTCGTGGCTAAACACCAAAAGCTGAAATTCAGGTCACGAAAAGAATGGGTAGAGGGCATGACAAAAATCAATAGGACTCTTGCCGAGTTTAGGTTTTTTAAAAGTCAGAGAGATGAGAGGAGAGTACATAGCAAGGACATACACACAAAAGCACGCGAACCAAAACTACACAGCAGGCTAAAACTCAAAACAAGCGAGGGCCTGAAGAACAGACTACCACAAAACTACCACAAGCAGAAGAAAACAGCCAAACAAACAAAAATAAACCTTCTACATACGAAGAACAAAAATGAGAAAATAGCCCCACGAATCTGGGAAGGTAGGAGGAAGCTAGCAGAAGGCAAAGAGAAGGCAGAGGGACCAGATAGCTCCTGTCTCGGTCCTCTTTCACAAGGAGAACAGTCTTCAAACTAGAAGAGGTAGAACAAATGTCCTAAAGGAGGAACCGCCCCCCAAGAGAGGAAAGAACATAGTGGGAGGACCAGGAACTGCTTCCAAAGAGTTCTTCCATCGATGGTGTCCAGACCACAGGAAGTCCATTCTCCACAAGGAAAAAAACAAATGTAGCATAGCATCCAATTCAAAGAGGGACACTACCAAACTGCAGGGCATTAAAAGGTGAATATACAGAATATTAAAAGTTCTGGAAGTCATATCTTTTGAAAAACTCTGAACTTGGGCCATAGGGAAGGATTTGTGGGATGTATGGCTGTTCTCAAAGATTTGATGAGACGTCCAATAGAAGAGGGAGTAGACTTGTTCTGTTTTGTTCAAAAGAACTATTAAAAGAACTGGTATGTGGAGTTTACCTCTTCACGACTAGATACCATGGGCTAAGCAGAGGGATTCAGCAAAATGTCTTATATAAGAGATAATGAGTTTCTAATCACTCAAATTCAAGTAGAGGCTATCCTAATGTTTCAGAGGACATTTCTATAGTGGAAAAGAAGCCAATCTATATCAATTAAACAGCATGTGGTAATAAGCATATATTATATGCCAGGTTCTGAGCTAAGGAACAGAGTAAAGTGAAATCAGATAAAGTGGGCCGCAAAACATATCAGAAAGAAAAAGGAATAGGTATGATGTAGGCAACCAAACAGAGAGATCCTACTAAATGATAAAGTAGGGGCGCCTGGGTGGCTCAGACAGTTAAGGGACCAACTCTGGGCTTCGGCTCAGTGGGTGATCTCAGGGTCACAAGATGAGCCCTGCCTCAGGCTCCGTGCTCAGCAGGGAGCCGGCTTGAGGATTTTCTCTCCTTCTGCCCCTCCCCCATGTGCGTGGGGCATGCGCACACATGCGCGCTCTCAAAAATAAATAAATCTTCTAAAAGAAAAGATAACGTTAACACAGAAGACACTTTAATAAAGACCTTTAGTACTGGTAATCAGGCCAGGAAACAGCAGGCATTTATCAGACACAATAATAACACCTTTGCTACAATGAACCAGTACATTAGGATCACCGACACAGAAAGCCGCCTCTTTACCTTTAATTTGCTTTTGGTACTTCTGCAGTTCAGGTGCCAGGAGCCCACTGAAAGGCCCAAGACACCCCACTGCATTAGCGATAGCATCTTCATCGTCTGGGTCGTTCTCCTCATCACTGTCTCTGACCTTACCATGTCGTCTTGGAAAACATAAAAGAAGAAAAAAAAGTATGCAAAGAAAATAGTGGTGTTTTTTAAAAATAAATGATAGTCATGTGGTTTAAATGACATATACATAACTTTTATATATAAGTATACATATAACTTACATATAAAAAGTCTCCCTCCCCTCCCTGTCCAACTTCGGCCCCTGCCACCTAATTCCCAAAGGTGACCCTTGTTACTAATTTCTGATGTATTCTTCAGTTTCATTTTGCATAAGTAAGCAAATATAACTATACCATCTTATTTTTCTCCTCTTTTCGAATAAATATTAGCATACTACATACACTCTTTTGCACCTCACATCTACTTACCTAAAAATCTCTCCATATTCACACACACACAGCTTCCTCATCTTGTTTTTATCAGTGCACTATATTGTACGCGTGTAGCCCATGTTATGGAACCAGGCCACTAACAATGCACACCAGAGTGGTTTCCACTCCCATACTATCATAAGCAATGCTGCCATAAATAACCTTATACATACTGTGTTTTGCAGGTGCACAAATACATTTGTGGGATAAGTCATAAAGGCAGAATTGCCGGGTCAAAGGATATATGTACTAGTAATCTGGGGAAACACTGCCAAACTGCCTGCCACAAATCTTGTAATAATTAACCTCCAACCAGCAATGTGAAAGAGTGTTTCCCTATAGCCTCATCAACAGAGTGCACATCAACCTTTTCAATTTTTATCAATCTGACAGATAAAACAGAGTCTCAATCTAGTTTTAAGCTACATTTCTCTTAATACAAGTGATGTTGATGTTGCCTCTTATGTAAACTACCTATTCCCATTCTCTCTCATTTTTCAATGGGGTGGTCATTTTCTTATTGATATCTAGGAACTTTATATATGAGAGATATTGATTACAAATATTTTTTCACAAATATTTTTGTGCCTGCTTATGGAGGTTTTGTTTTGTTTTGTTTTCAGTCATGCAGAAAATTATTTTTAAAGTACTTAACTTTTTCCCTAGTGTTTTTGAATCAGTTAAGGCCTTCCCAGTTCCAAAGAACTAAAGATATTCTTTCACATTTTCTTCTGCTAATTTTATTTCATTTTTTTCCATTTAAATACACTTTTCACTTTTGATTTGATATGCTAAGTTTTCAAACACTAAATTTCTATATATTTGTCAATTTCAGTCTTTACATTTTAAAGTAGCTCTTTAATAGTTCTACACTATTTTAATTATTAAAATGTTTAATGTTTTATATTTTTAAAGAAGTTTCTAAATATTCCTTTAGTTTATGTTCCAATCTTTTTTGGAAAGTACAGTTTTAAAATCTCTCTGAATTTCAATCAAAACCTTTGGGAAAGAAACATTCAGATTTTAAGTACCAAAATACTTTGAAAATATGTATCTGGGGTTTAACAAATAGGAAGTTACAATAACACATTAAAGTACTAAGTCTTCCATCATGAAAACAAGAAAAGGGGGGGGAGACCTTACCCAGAAACTGAGGTGGGTTTAACTGTGGCTGGGAATGGTGTAATGTTGTAGGTGTATTTTTCCCTCAACTCTGCCAATTGTGGGAAAGGGAATGGAGCCATAGAATAAACAGTCTGAAAAACAAAACCAAAAATGCCAAGTCTGAAACAGTGGCCTTAAACAACTCTTATCAATCCTGGAAAGACATTAAAGTTTTATGATTTGGATGTGAAGAGGTAGATTCTGCTCCTTACACAGCAGGTGGAGAGATTCTACTTCAATGCTTTTCACCTGCTTTAGAGAAAGACAAAAGAGTACTGATAAACACAATGCTGAGTTCTCAAATCAATCCAGCTGTGACTGGGCATTCTAAGTGGTGAACATGGGTGCCAGATGGAGCAGTCTGACTCCCTCTGGGCCCAAGTGACAGATGGGTTAATTCAGAACTTCACAAGTTCCTATTACTTCTTTTTTTTCTTTTCATGAGGGCCCGAACTCACGACCCCAAGATCAAGACCTGAGCTGAAATCGAGTCTGATGCTTAACCAACTGAGCCACCCAGGTGCCCCCTATTACTTCTTTAACAAAGTACCCATCAATGATCTTCATATGCAGTGCTTATTTTTCAAAGCTTTGTTTGATGATGATTTTTACAGACATTTAATGTCAACTTTCTGGACAAAATTAAGTCTAGTGGATGACTTTGTGATCAGCTGCATGCTTTCTCCAAAGACACCTTTTCAAATGTCTATGAATGAGTTCTAGGTGAAAATTGTTAGCTGTTATATTTAAAGAAAAAAAAGTGACAGGGTGTAAAGCATAGGCTGTTAAAAATCTATAAATAAAAATGGGAAAAGCACCTGTGCTTCCTCCAGAATTTCAAAATTATATATCACTCTATCAGCAAGAGGAAAGTAATCCTATTTGCTCTCTTAATTTTATTAAAATTTAATTGCTCCAAACATATTTCTTCAATCCTTCAGGTACTTATTCACCAGAAAATGTATATTAATCACAGTTTCATTTCTCCCAGGAAGCCATTAACCTAAAACTAACAATGTTATATGTCAACTATACCTCAATAATTTAAAAAAAGAAACCCATACCATTTGGATTCAAATTTAAAAGATGAAATTATCAATGCTAGGAATTTCAAAATTCCTTATAGATGAAATAACATGTCTCACTGAAGACAGTAGGGTAACCAGCTAAAGATTCACTTCCGTTTTATTTTTGCCAGTTTTATAAAAAGTTAAGAAAATATTTCTTTGTCCAGCCTCATGAAGGAAGCTGACAAGAAAGGAATGAGAAGTCCATCCTGCCCCTACTTCATCCCATGCTGCCCCAGGGTAACTAGCCCGGGTTCCTAGAAAGCTCGTTCAAGTTTCAGACACCTGACCAAAAAGAACACTGCCCCCACTGGTGCTTTCATTCTCTATTTTTGGTCTTTTTTCCTCTATCCTTTACTTTCAGTTAGTCCTTCAGAGAAGAAATCAGTGCTCCTGAAACGAATGTGTTTATAGTACTTCTTCGCATATATTCACTCACTTATTTGAAAGTCTCACATCTGAAGGCAAATTTATGCCAAGAATGTACACCACACATCACCACAGTCCTCAGAGTACCTGAGAAGCTGTAGGTTCCCAACTTCATAAATCAGAGATTTACAAGAGATTCCAAGGAAGATATGTTACGAATCACCTTAGAGCCAAATATGGTACATTAATAGAATCTTAGGGCTAGAAAGGAATGTAAACATAATTTAGTTCAACCTCCTTCTGCAGCAGAAATTCCCTCTAGAGCATCTCCAACAGATGGTCACAAAGGCACCACTTAAACACTTCCAGTTACAGGCACACATTATTTTGCAGAGCAGACGGTTACAATTTTTGACAGCACTAATTAATCAAACATGATCCTTCTATTGGACAAGGATCCACATCCTTGTAATTTCCACGCCATCACTGATGGAAAAAAGTGAACAGTCCAGGGGCGCCTGGGTGGCTCAGTTGGTTGAGTGTCCGACTCTTGGTTTCAGCTCAGGTCATGATCTCAGGGTCCTGGGATCAAGCCCTCTGTCAGACTCCGTGCTCATAGGGAGTTTGTTTGGGATTCTCTCTCTCCCTCGCTTTCTGCCCCTCCCCCCACCTCTCTCTCACGGGTGTGCTTTCTCGCTTTCTCTCTCTCAAATAAATAAATAAATCTTTAAAAAAAGAAAAAAAGTGAACAGTCCAAGGGCAGATCCTACATCATGGCACCGGAGCACTCCCCTCCCCCACCAGGTAACAATCATTACTGACAAGCACTTTGGCATAGGTTTTCCCAAGCACCTACAGACCCGTCTAACAACAGCACCTAATTTTTCTCTCTGTTGCCCTCAAGGAAGTCATGAGAGACTTTGTCAAACGTCTTAGTGAAATCCGTATACACTATTTCACCGGCATCCTCCCAATCTCTCTTCCAGACACTATCAATTTTTAAAAACCAGCCATTGCTAATAAAAAAAAAAAAAGAGCGATGTGATTTACAGAAGGAAAAAAACCCAGCAGATTATTTTGTGTGTGGCACTGAGAACTGAAAGAACTGGGGAAGACCACCAGGGAGACTCCTTCCACATCTTCAGGTCGAAAATAAAGACCTTACACGCAGTCCACATTTTTCATCTGGAGCCATTTCAGGTTTGCTGATGGATTTATGGCCCACCAGAATTGGATCCCAGCCACTGAATTCATTTTTTTTTAAAAGAGTGAATACAGGAAAGAGTGTGCCTTGAAATGACATTCACCATTTCTCTCCGTAACACCCTATGATGCCAAGGAAAAATAACAAGTCAATTTATGATCCCAACTACCAAGGTACATTTAAATAGATATTTATATTTAGATACTGCTGGAAAAAAATTCTATCTTTTTTCATGACAGACATGCATTAGAAAAAAATGAAAACATAAGTTGCACAAAATTAGGCTCAGTTCATCTCCACCCAGATGTTTTCCTCAGCAGAAGAAAAGCCACTAAAATGGCATCTAATCAATCAAACCACAGCCTGCATTTTTCCCTCTAGGATTCTCCTAAAGCAGGGGAATGAGGTCATTCTCTTTTCTCCTAATTCCTAAGATTGGACATTTTTATAGAACAAAGATGGAGTAATGTCAACATATCTCTCCTTTGTTCTGGCAACTTTTAAATGAAATAAAATGTTGCTTTATTTTTCTAAAGGGGACTTCAGCCTTGAGAAAGACATGTTTTGAATAAGGTGGAAGCGGTATGCTGGGTGATAGGGAAAAAGTAGCAGGCCAGGAGTGGCTTGGGTCTCGGTCCTGGGTCCACTGCCAGACAACCTAAGGAACTGGCCACACGCTCACTCTCTGTCAAGTGAGAGAATCAGGTTAGTTGATCTTTAAGCTCCTTTTATTTTTCTCTAAAGATTTTATTTATTTGAGAGAGAGAGAGCAAGAGCCAGGGGAGGGGCAGGGGGAGAAGCAGGCTCCCCACTGAGCAGGGAGCCCACCACGATGCGGGGCTCCATCCCAGGACCCTGAGATCATGACCTGAGCCAAAGACAGATGCTTAACTGACTGAGCCACCCAGGTGCCCCTTTCAGCCTCTTTTAAACCACTGTTTCCGGGCGCCTGGGTGGCTCAGTAGGTTAAGGGTCTGCCTTCGGCTCAAGTCATGACCCCAGGGTTCTGGGATGGAGTCCCACATCCTGCTCCCTGCTCAGCAGGGAGTCTGCTTCTCCCTCTAACCCTCCCCCCTGCTCGTGATCTCTCTCTCTCTCTCTTTCTCAAATAAAATCTTTTAAAAATTTAAAAAAAAAAAACAAAAAACACTGTTCCCTAAGTGTGGTTTAAAAACCACGTGCATCAGACTCACCCATGGGCTAAATGTCTGCATTCTAACATACTCCTGAGAGGTTTCTCATACACAGTCAAGTTTGAGAACCACTGTCTCCAGTTCCAGTGTTCTATGAGTCTGTGTATTCACTAAGCAACCAGGTATATTCTTAACAGTACTCTAGGTGTTATAAGGATACAGAGTAAAATGAGGCCCCTATCATTAAGGAACTTACCACTTCATTAGAGAAATAAGATTAACATATTTTTAAAAATACCAAGAAATGTAAAATCATCTCTAATTAGCATCGAGTCAGTTGAAACTCTTACGTGCTGAAGGAACACCGAGGTGGCCTCGTTGGTGAGGGCTGAGAGGAGAGAGGCTGGGTGGGGGTGGGGGAGAGAAGGGACTGAGGGGGGCCCAGGTGGGCATATAGCTTTGCACAGAGAGTGTCAGAGGGACCCACAAGCCCAGGCACGAGCAGAGAGGGCCGGGTGGGAAGACAGCTCTGACCGGTGCAGAGGTTCCGGCCGCAAAGCAGTGGAAACACCTTGCATAGGTAAGGCACAGGGCAGCCAGAATGGAGTCTTCCTCCCCCCACACCCTTCTGCTCGCCTTCCTAAGCCAGAGACCTGTTGGTTGCCTTTGTCTCCCCATTTCTTTCTCCCTCACCCCATATCCATTTTCCATGGCCAAGTCCTATCAACTTCGCCATCTAAGTATCATCTCTGTTCCATCCCTGTTTCTACCCGTCCCTGCCTCTCACGGGCTCCTGCTGTCAGGCTTGACCCCTTCAAGTTCACCCTTCACAGAGCTGCCCCTGCCTGCATCTTACAGAAGCCACAACTTGGACCACTTTCCTTCTCTCCTTAGGACCTTTCAGGTCTTCTTTTTTCCCTTTCCAAAGGCTCCACAGAATCCCTAGAATTCCAGCAAGCACGATTTCACAACCACTGACCTAAAAGGTCAAGTCCAATCCTTACCACGGGTTGTGGTCTTCCATACGCACCCCAAATACCAAACTCCTTGTAGTTTCCTTCACACACCGCAAAGTTTTCCACTGGCTAAGCCTTTGCTCATGCCACTCCCTCAACCATGAATCCCCTTCCTGCTCTGCACCACTGCCTCCAACACACACACACACACACACGATCTCACGTGCGCAGGCACCCCCACGCATACACACACACACACACAGACATGATCTCATGTGTGCAGGCACCCCCACGCATACACACACACACACACAGACATGATCTCATGTGTGCAGGCACCCCCACGCATACACACACACACGATCTCACGTGTGCAGGCACCCCCACGCATACACACACACACACACATGATCTCACGTGTGCAGGCACCCCACGCATACACACACACGATCTCACATGTGCAGGCACCCCATGCGTGTGCACACACACACACGATCTCACGTGTGCAGGCACCCCCACGCATACACACACACACACACACAATCTCACATGTGCAGGCACCCCCATGCGTGTGCACACACACACACGATCTCACGTGTGCAGGCACCCCCACGCATACACACACACACACACAATCTCACGTGTGCAGGCACCCCCACGCATACACACACACACACACAATCTCACGTGTGCAGGCACCCCCACGCATACACACACACACACACAATCTCACGTGTGCAGGCACCCCCACGCATACACACACACACACACAATCTCACGTGTGCAGGCACCCCCATGCATACACACACACACACACAATCTCACGTGTGCAGGCACCCCCACGCATACACACACACACACACAATCTCACGTGTGCAGGCACCCCCACGCATACACACACACACACACAGACATGATCTCACGTGTGCAGGCACCCCACGCATACACACACACGATCTCACATGTGCAGGCACCCCATGCGCGTGCACACACACACACGATCTCACATGTGCAGGCACCCCATGCGCGTGCACACACACACACGATCTCACGTGTGCAGGCACCCCCACGCATACACACACACACACAATCTCACGTGTGCAGGCACCCCCACACATACATACACACACACACACATGATCTCACGTGTGTAGGCACCCCCACACATACACACACATACGATCTCACGTGTGCAGGCACCCCACGCATACACACACACACACGCACACACAATCTCCCGTGTGCAGGCACCCCACGCATACACACACACACACACACACACACGATCTCACGTGTGCAGGCACCCCCACGCATACACACATATACACAGAGCCTGACCAATGCCATCCTTAAAGGTAAAACCAGACATTATCTTCCTCAAGGAAGTCTTCTGACAGAAATGCTCAAAAATATTTGGAGAAGTTAATATAGGGCCTAGAAAACTGGCTGAAGCATTTTATTTACTGCAGTTAATAACAAGAAATCATTGAAGGCATTACAAAGAACCACGAAATGACCCAAGCAGTGTGGACGATCACTCTGGCAGCAAAATGCCGATTATACTAGAGCAGAGAGAATCTAGAAGGAGGGCCACCATCTGTGAGTATTATTTAATTCAGCAAACATTTATTGAAAGAGAGAAGGCAGGAAACTAATTGCAGACTCTCAACAGGTGTTTGCTTAATGAAGTAATAAATTTATTGAGCAGCTCTAGTAAAAGGCAAAGTGCTAAGGGTTTATAAGCAAAGCATAGTCCCTGTCCTCAAGGAGCTTAAAAATATCACTAAGGAAATAAGATGGTCTTCAATTAAGGTAGAATGTGATGAATGCTCACGAGAGAGGTACAAAGAAAATGCCATGGTGATTCAGAGAAATGGGAGATGATTTTCGTTGAGACTCTCAGAGAATGTTCCACAAAGGAGATGGCATCTGAACTGGAACTCCTCAGGAAGAGGCAGGCCTTGAACATGTGGAGGTAGAAGGGAAAGACAGAGCAGAGGGGGCACAGGAACAGAGGAGGTATAGTCCCAGGGATTTCTGGGAGCATGGAAGACAGCGTGACCCGACCAGAATAAGTCAAGGGTACAAAACGGAGCAGCCATGGCTGAAAAGATAGGTGAATGCCAGACAGTCAAGAGCACTGGATGCTAAGCTGAGAAATCCATGCTTCATTTTGTAGGCAGTATGTGGAGGTAGCCACTGAAGTTTCCTGAGTGAGGGAGAACGAACGATATCCCAAAGTCCTGCCTTGGGCATACGATTCAGGCAGTTCTGCGGGACACAGAGGACCCCATACATGGAAAATGCCAAGCATGGACCTCGCACCCAGAGCACTGTTCAATAAAAGGTACCTGCCTCTGAGAGAAAATGAGCGACGATGCAGCAAGGGCCCCAGGATATATATGAGAAGAGTTGGGATCAGAGCATCGACGTCAGTGTCAGACAGACCCCTTCCTCCTCTGAGACAGGAAAGAAGGAAGAAGAAATGAGAATGCAAAGAAAAGTTGAAATAAAAAACACAAATGCTTAGGGAAGTTCTATCGGGTGGTCAACATTCTCCATGAGTCAGGTAGCTGTCTGCTAAAAATCAGGGATTCTGAGAAGGAGCCAGAGACGCCAGGAAACGAACAGAGGAATAGAAACTCCCCGCTTCTCACGCCCTAAGTCAGGGTGGGTCTGAGTCTTTGTTTTCCAATCTGTTGACTGGGCCCAGCACCCAAACATGACCTCACACATAGAACCCAACATAAGGGTAAAAACTGAAACCCAGATAAAGGAGAAACCACAGAGAAAAGAGGAAACAAGGCCCAAGGGCAGCGTTGGACAAGACCCACAGTGGGCAAGGGGAACGACCGGCAAAGGGGTCAGGAGCATCAGAGGAAAATAGGGGTAACAGAAGAGACAATGTTAACAAATTTGCTGTCTTTTCTATACTATCAATTTTAATGCCTTCATGAATACGATACTGAGAAAAAATAACATGCCAGAAAATAACAAAACCCTTCAAGTCTTTCACATTAAAACTTACGACTAGTACATAGATCCCAGGGTCCTGGGATCGAGCCCTGCGCCAGGCTCCCTGCTCCTTGCTCCCTCCACACCACGCCCCCACCCCACTGTGCTCACTCTCTCCACCTCTCAAGTAAATAAATAAAATCTTTTAAAAAAATACACAATAACAGAAGTAGAAAATATGGGTAAAACAAACCAAAATGCTGATTAGAATAATCTCCTTTTGGGCACCTGGGTGGCTCAGTTGGTTAAGCGACTGCCTTCGGCTCACGTCATGATCCTGGAGTCCTGGGATCGAGTCCTACATCGGGCTCCCTGCTTGGCAGGGAGTCTGCTTCTCCTCCTGATCCTCCCCTCTCTCTCTCTCATATTCTCTCTCTCTCTCTCTCTCTCAAATAAATAAAATAAAAAGAATAAGCTCCTTTTTATCCTCAATTTCTCCCCCAAAATATTTATGTTGCCCCACAAGTCTCCCTTTAAAAGGTTAAAAATCAGATTCAGGGGTGCCTGAGTTGCTCAGTCAGTTAAGCATCTGACTCTTGATTTCAGCTCAGGTCATGACCTCAGGGTCCTGCGATCAAGTCCCCCACCATGGCAGGCTCTCTGCTCAGTGGGGAGTCTGTTTGAGGATTCTCTCCCTCTGCCCCTCCCCCTGCTCACACACTCTCTCTCTCTCTTTCTAAGAAATAAATAAATCTAAAAAAAATCAGATTCGGAAGTTTTGGGGATTTTTTTGGAGGTTGGACTTTTAAGCAACACAGTTGAATGGAAGCATAACAAATATCCATTATTCATTTCTTCCTTCCTTTTGTGACATAGATAGATTCTGATCAAATTATATACAGACTCGTGGTCAAGTGAAAAACTAAATCTGAGGGCTGGCCAAACATATTTCCCCACGTTCCCTGAGGTGAGGCCACGCTGCCCACTCACCTGCATGAGTTCGTGGCTTTCCAGAAGGTCATTCTCTAGCATCTCCTGGGTAAGGCGCCCCATGGTGCTGTAGAATTCATCTGCTGTCTCACAGCATTCTATCTGCCTAGGTAAAGAAAGGACAGAAGAATGTTTAGGACGCCCATGGTGTTTATCAGGTATATATTGCAGGTCCAACAGGATGTGTCGCCTCTTGCCATCAAAGTTAGCAATCAACAAAAATCACAATCCTAGGCACTTGCCTATGGCTTAGTCATAGTTTGCATGTCCTGGCTTGCAATTCTCTGCTATTCCCAAATAAACCCATTTTTGCTGATTTTTTTAAAAATCACAATTCTGGTACACAGTCTGCAAAAAAACATCAAGGGCAGCTTAGAGGTACTTATTACAGGGTGAGTTCCTATCTTTGCTATCTGCTCACCAGCCTCACAGCCCCACCTGTGGCATCTTTATTATTTTCCTGTGACACAGTCTACACATCAGAATGCCCACCACCGATCAGAATTAATAACCACAAAATTGGGTACTGAAGGACTCTGGGGCTCTCCATCTGCAAAATGGTGATATCCTTGATAGACTGAAACCAAACCACAGAAGTGAAAGATGAGAAATACAAGAATAAGAACTTTTCTGCCTATTTCATCATTCACAGGATGCTTTCACGGACAGAAATGTTTCAGTTCTTCTCTGGGCACCAAAGCCAGCTGGAAATTACACCCTGCTTCTTGCATTTGGTTCTACATGTAAATAAAGAAATCTGTCATCTGGCAACCTATAAGGCAGGTCAGACTTCCATCCTTCAACTAGAAGGGGAAAAAAAGGAATAGTCCAAAGCAAAGAGCACTGTGGGCAGCTCTTCCCGCCCACAGGTCCTGTCCCCGTACTTTAATAAAACAACCCTTCTGGCACAGAAAAACAAACAAACAAATAAGTAAATAAATATGTGTCTGAAAATAAAGCAAAAGTACTATGTGTTTGTTTTCTCTATTACAAAGTTCTTTGTACAGTAGGATAATTGTATTTGCCCACCAACCATAAGACATACACTTCAACCTACAGTGATGTCGGGGAATTTCCACAGGGCCGTCCAAAAGAAACATGATGATGGAAAAACTTTAGTTTCCGGAGTGCTCTTCAATCCCATTGCCATTAAATGAAATAGACTGTTGAAGTGTTATTACAAAACTATAGAGTGGCATGTGGGCATAATTGAAAAAACGGTTAAGTTTACCCTGGAGGGTGAGGAAGGGAAATAATGCTTCAGATGAGTTCTGAAAAATATTCTCCAGGCTGACAAAGGAAGAAAAAACTTCCCAAAGACGTGGATGCAGGAGACGGCAGGCCCTTTCCAGGTCCTGCAAGGAGCAGACAGCAGAGGGCACGTGCCTGCTGAGCCTCTTCGGGGCAAGAGTCACTGAAAGGCACTTCCCAGGGAGTGTGGGAACAGATGTGCCCTCGGCAAGGTTGGCTGGAGGTCCCATGGCAAGTGTAGGGTATGAGGGGGAGACCAGGGAGGAAGCACCGCGCTGGGCCAGGATGCCGTGTGAGGGAGCAAGGCAACGCAGAGCGTCAGAGGAGAACAGATACATGAGAGACACCAGGGAAGGAGCGCCGAGAGGCCCCAGCTTACGTATTCCCAAAGCACCCGTGGTGTGAGAAGAAATGCCAAGTTGCAGGAGTAAGGGGAACGGAGAGGTCCCAAGGATCTGTTGTTCAGGATTTTTCCAGTGGAAAGTTTGTGGGAGAGGGATACAGGCACTGGAGCCAGAAAGAGCTAGGATTAAGTCTCAAGCTCTGCAACTAATGAGCTACGTGACCATGAGCTAGTCAATTCACCCTCCTGGGGTAGCTTTCGCACTGGGAAAGGCAGGAGAAGAGTCCTACCTACTTCCCAGGGTTATGCGGAGAACCGAATGAGATCATGTGTTTAAGCTGCCTGACATAATGACAGCACTGCAGGCGCTTGGTGACCTGTGTTGGCTGCCCTTCCTTTCGCATAACAAGTGGCATGCTCAAAAAACGTAGAAGTGTAGTGAGCAAAAACACTGAAACATTTAAAGTCCCACCAGTGTGATTCCTATATCCCCTGAACTTCATAAACAATACTGTTCAGTATCAGTAGATTCACATTACTAAAAGTGCAGATTCTAGGGGCACCTGGCTGGCTCAGTCGGTGGTAGAGCACGTGACTCTGGATCTCAGGGTTGTGGGTTCAAGCCCCACATTAGTCGTAGAGACTACTTAAAAATAAAATCTTAAATAAAAAAAAAAAGTGCAGATCCTAGAGCCAGGATATCTGGATTCAAAATCAGGCCCTTCCACTTACTGGGTGACCTTGGGCAATTCACTTAACTTCTCTCTGGCTCAGTTCCCACATCTGTAAAATGGGGGTGAGAACAGTACCTACCTCATAAGATGATGGTGAGGACTAAATGAGTTAGTTTCACATCTAGAGTGCTTAGAGCAATGCCGGTCCACAGTGTGACATCCCTGGGAGGACCAGACGAATAAATTCTGATCCTACACATAATGGATAGGGGGGAGTAAAACCAGAATTCTTTTCTTCCTGCCCCATAACTAAGAACTAGCACAAAGGTGACTCTAATGGACTCAGCACACAGTAAAGTGCTACACTATTTTAATCCCATAAACTAGTTACCCGGTACCTGGACTATCCCACCCACAGACACTATCAAAGTTCAAAGAGCTTCAGGCATAGAGTAGGTTGGAAATGTAGGACTGCAGAAAGATCTAGTTACTGGGGGGAAATGAAAAGATAAGTAAACAGCGTGCCAAATCCCCAGCAGACTCATTTATTTGCCCAGCTGAAAAGCAGTGTACCATAAAACAAAGGCAACGGAGATAGCTATGTGATGTTTCAAAATATTTATACACAACAACGATCTTTCTAAATCCCTGAATTGATAGTTGGTGGATCTTTCTTGCAAAAAAGTATGAAATACTGTAAGTCTCCCAGGAAACAACTTACCATAAATAAAAAGGCTAGTTAAAAGGTTTTTGAAACAAAATACTGGCAGTGATTTACTAGTTTTCTGACATGTTGTCTACGAGTATCCACTCAAGTCATTTATAGCTCTAGGAAAGAAACATTAAAAACTTCTCTGCCTCTTAACTATAACAACAATTTCATCCTAATGTCCCTTCCATTACCCAGAAGGCAGAATTTTAACATAATAGTCATAATATATTAGAGATGGGTGAAAATATCCTTTTTACAGTCCTGCTACTGGTAACAAATGTAAGTAACATCTATGTGGTAATATGTTTGGTAGTAACAGATTTCATCACAGAATTAATTCTTGATGAAAGGAAAGAAGTTCCATGTGTTCTACTATTTTTTTTAAGTAGGATCCACACCCAAAGTGGGGCTTGAACTCACAACCCTGAGATCAAGAGTCGCATGCTCTACCGACTGAGCCAGCCAGGTGCCCTCTGTGTGTTCTACTCTTGACTATGTACTAAGCACCACAGAGATACCTTATACATATTATCTCATTTAATTCTATAATGACCCTGAAGGACAGAACTAAATAAATACTAAGGATTCAAAAATCATCCAAATCGTGAATGTTAATCAACAAACCCAGCTACTCCTCTCCGATCTTCCTCTTCTATCTCAGTTCCTCGCCCTCCCCATCTTCCCAACTAGAGACTGGGGAGAGGCTGCAGAGTAAACCAGCCAGGACACTAGCACTGAGGAGGAGGAGATCTACAGACCTGGAAAAGCCTGCCCCCTTCCCCAACATATATTCCATTTGCCCCCCAACAATCAAGAATCAGCCAACTAAGATTTCAGAAGGCTAAAGCAATTCAACTAAGTTCCCAACTTTCTCTATTGCTCCTACTTAAATATAGATGCTTTTCACATTAGAGCACAAAATTGCTTAAGGCCCTCCACACCACGGAACAGAACAAAATGGGGAAATCACTTACTCTCCCAATTTTGCCCAGATGGCCAGCGACACTCTCAAGATGATTTCTGAACCTTCAAAGAAGACTGAATCCCAGATCTTTAAGACTGTATGGTTAGGGAGGCATGTAGCAAAGAGAGTCAGAAACCACTGCATCGTGAAGACATTCGTAAGTGGGGGCTCGTATCCACCTGAAATAAAACAAACACTCTGTGTTTCTTCAGAATAGATGCTTTGCAAGATATAAAATAGCCTTGTTCAATCATCCATGTCCACCAAATATGTTACATTTCCTGGCTGATTTCCTTAGATCTCTAAATTCTGGTTTCTTTCCTTCTTTTTCTCTTTCCTCTTTTTGGAAGAACATAGGTGTGTTTGATAAAAAAAAAAAAATCTCAATAAGGAATTTTCACAAATTATTTATGATATTTCAGAAATCTTTTTTTTTAAGATTTATTTATTTGACAGAGAGAGAGAGCACGCGTGCACAACCAGGGGGAGCGGCAGGCAGAGGAAGAGGGAAAAGGAGCCCAGCTTGGGGCTTGATCCCAGGACCCTGAGATCATGACCTGAGCCAAAGGCAGACGTTTAACTCACTGAGCCACCCAGGTGCCCTGATATTGCAGATATCTTAACCTCAAACTTAATTTGTCTCTACCTATTGTGGGGTGCTGAAAATTAACGAGAATGTTCTCCTCACCAAAAACAAGATAAAAAGAAAGGATTTTAGCCTCTTAAAAGCAGAATCCAATTTTCAAAACCTCATAAAGTCCACTTTTATTCAAATGCTGATGATAAAACATTGCTCATTACTTGTCTACTTCTTAAATTATGCCCAGCTCTCAGACCACAGTGGAATTAAACTAGAAATCATAACAGAAAAAGAGCTGGAAAAGCCCAAAGTATTTGGAGATTAAACAACATGAAATTTTAAAATACTGTGAACTAAACTATACACACAGCTCACACTGAAGTTTCTGAGTTCGCCAAAAACACAGAGCTCCCTCCTACTTCCCCTGATGGCATTAGGTATGTATTTTATGAAACATACAAATGTAGATATTTAAACTGATCCTCCCTCTGAATTAGACTACGCATTTACCCAAGGATAAGCCAAAAGAGCTCTATTCTCCTGCACTCATTTTCTCTCTTCTTCCTCAAGAACAAAGGAGCATTGTTGTTCAGAGACTTAGAATCTGAGGGCAGTGCTTATGGGCAAGTGCAGGACATCTGGAGGAAAAAGTGGAGCCCAGGAAAGCATGTCTGACATGGGACAGGCAGTGTTATCTGGACGCATTATGAAATCCCCACAGGTGCACAATGACACTGCGCAACCAAAGTAAAGGAGATTATTCAAATGGCTGAGAAGGAAATGCTGAGAGACACCCAGGCATCACTAAAATTTCCAAGGTCCTATAATTACAGATTAGGTCCTCACATCCTTTCATATTTTCCCAGATTTAAATGCATGGGTGGGGAATTGGCAACCATTTACAGGAAACACAACAGACTTCATTATTCTTCCTGGTATCCTGCACCTAGCCAGGCAAGTGCAGGCAGTGGATACAACCACAGCCGTGAGCTCGGGCACTTCAGCAAGCTGGGTGATGCCCACCAGAAAGCAGCAACCTGGGGCCGCTTGCAGAGCAGAGTCTCCATCCCTGCCTCAACCCAGGGCTCCGAAGCTACCTGGAGGTCCCAGGAAGCCCTTCTCCAGAAAGAGCTGAGCCATCCATCTTCAGTAAATCTAAATACCCTTACCATGGATAGATAAAAGGAGCACTGAACATTTTAATCCAAGACTGTTGGTTTATCTCCTAAAACTTAAGGAAGATGTGTATTCCTCTCTCTACAGGCTCCATGGTTCAGGGAAAACCACAGTCTGTGCGAAATTGTACTGCTGCTCAGCTTTAAAGAACTCCTGTGGGTTGGTACCAGCTGAGAGCGGTTTAACTAGATGGTAAGACATGGACTCCACTCTTCATCCAGAGTGCACTATATCATTTTAGGTGTCAATCCAGTACTGGTAAAGTATTCAGTTCTTGACGGACTTCCCAACCAGGACCACTCGGAGGTTCAACATGTGGCCCTATGATTTTTTTCAGTTGTATTTTTGTTCTCTAGCCACCTATTTCATTGCACCAAATGCTCATTAACAGAAATACCTGAAAACAAGTATTTCTGCTCAAGGTTTAGGCTCAGGTGTACTGCGGAATCAGGGAAGTAAAATATTCTCAAAGGTATAACAGCACTGAGTCATCACTACCTCCACTTTCCTTGTTCGAAGTTCTCTGAAGAGTATCCAGGTGCTGAGATAATTCGGGGAGTTTCAGTCTCAAGAGATCTCTGAAGACAGCCATATCCACAGACAAAGCCCGGAGATTATTGACAAAATAGCTTTCAGGAAGTACCTTATCAATAAGGTAAATCATAATCTGAAGAAAAAGATAAAGAATAAGATTGCTTCCTAAAAACTGGGATCCCTACATGTCCTAAATAGAAGGAACATATTCAAAAATGCAGTTAGCCAAAGCACACCATCCTTCCAGTGTGTCAATACCGAATGTTCTGGACTTTCAAGGCTCATCTCCATGCCAGGTAAGGAGTGAGTGGCATAATTATTAAAGTAACTCAGACCCATAGTCCACTGCTGTCTAAAGTTTCTAGATGGGGCACTAGACCTGAGTTCAGCCCCTAAGGTGCTATGCTGGTACAACCCTCAGCCTCACTCAGAAGTGATGAAGCACATGCCCCATCAGCAGCCAGCGGGAAACCCAATACTGGCTCCCTGATGTCAGCAGTTTCACAACCTTCTTATGAAAACCAAGAGCTGAACCACCATAAACGCCCCGCCCCGCAACGAAAGCAAGTCTTGAGATGCACTTAGCATAACCCAGTTATTAGAACTGGGAGCGGACTTTGATCCACTTTCCTCTCCCAGGTGAATGCAACAAGAGTTTTGTTTGAACACATGGTACTTTCAAAATCTGGATTTCTTTCATAAGATTGTCTCACAAGTTCTTCAAATTACTACTTTCATTCTTATTTTTTTAATTTGTGTTACACCTTTGCTAAGAGGTCAAGAACCACAAAAACGACCCAGCAAAACACAAGAGTTCTATCTATATGTCAATCTCTGGTCCTTCCCCTGTCAGCTCATATCCTCTGCTGTGTTCCTCCCTCCCTAGAAGACCACTCCCTCCCCAGAGCACAGGAAAAACAAAATTAAGAATAAAACCATAGCTGGCCCTATATGATGGTCTCACATTTTAATTTTCAGTCTAACACGAAACTCTATTTTCCAAGAAAATTATCTCCCAGACCTGACAAGGGCCCCTCTTTCCCTCATCTCTGGCTTGTAATTTCTACTTTTTAGGGCAATTGTTTTGACTAAGTCAATAAGGGCTGGGCCATACTCTTGAGAGGGTCCCTCTGAGACCTTTATTACAAGACTTGGCAGGTGGAGCTTAGCAATAAAAGGAGTACACTATATTCCATCTGTGTGGAGAAAGAAGGTCCTGAGTGTAATGTTAGGTATGTCACTCCACCCACTAATATATTTCGAAGACCACACATTAGATCTTAAAAAAAAAAAAAAAAGTTAGGATAAATAATGGCAATAGAGCAAAAACAGTCTCTTCAACAAATGGTGCTGGAACAATTGGACATCCACATGCCAAAAAATAAATCTAGACACAAACCTTACACCTTTCACAAAAAGAAATTCACTCAAAAGAGATCGCAGACCTAAATGTAAAGTGCAAAACTGTAAATCTCTCAGAAGGTAACAAAGCCTAGATGACCCTGGGAATGGTGATGACTTCTTAGATGCAACAGCAAAGACATGATCCATGAAAGAAATCACTGGTAAGCAAGACTTCTTCAAAATTAAAAATTTCGGTTTTGTGAAAGACAATGTCAAGAGAATGAGAGGGCAAGCCACAGACTGGGAGAAAATATTTGCGAAAGACATAGCTGATAAAAGACTGTTATCCAAAATACACAAAGAACTCTTAAAACTCAAGGTAAAATAATGTGACTAAAAATGGGCCAAACACTTTAACAGGTACTTAGGGATGGGATATAAGTATATGAAAAGATCCCTCACATGATATGTCATCAAGGAAATTAAAATTAAAATGAGATACCACAGCACACAACTATTAGAATGGCCAAAATCTGGAATGCTCACAACCCCAAAAGCTGACAAGGATGTGGAGCAACAGGAACTCTTACACATTGCTGGGGGGAATGCAAAACTGTACAGCCACTATGGAAGACAGTTTGGTGGTTTCTTAGAAAACTAAATATACTCTTACCGTATCATCCAGCGATCACACTCATTGGTATTTACCCAAAGAAGCTGAAAACTCACGTCCACACAAAAACCTGCGCACAGATGTTCATAGCAGCTTTATTCATATTTGCCAAAACTTGGAAGCAACAGAGATGTCCCTTGGTAGGTGAATGGATAAACAAACTATGCACATCCAGACAATGGAGTATTATTCAGCACTAAAAATAAATGAGCCACCAAGCCATGAAAAGACAGGAAGGAACCTTAAATGCATACTACAAAGTGAAAGAAGCCAATCTGAAAAGGCTACATACTGTATGATTCCAACCATTATGTGACATTCTGAATAGGGCAATGGCAAAAAGATCAGTGTTTGCCAGGGGGGGGAAGGTAGGGGGATGACCAGGCAGAGCACAGAGGATTGTTAGGGTAGTAAACACATTCTGTATGAATATTATAATGATAAAGACATGTCACTAAACATTTGTCTAACCCACAGAATGTACAACACCAAGGGTGAATCCTAATGTAAACTATGCACTTTAGGTGATTATGACACGTTGATATAGGTTCATGGATTGTAACAAATGTACCTTTGGTGGGGGATGTTGATAGTGGGGGAGGCTGTACACGTGTGGGGGCAGGAGGCATATGGAAAATCTCTGTACCTTCCTCTCAATTTTGCTGTGAACCTGAAACTGCTCTAAAAAAAATTATGTATTTTTTTAAAGTAAATAATGAAGGAGCCTCAGTGTATTAACAAATAGTTAAAAACAGTTATTAAGAAAGACAATAAGTGCTGAAAAGCATGCAAGATGGCTTACCTACTTCTCAAATAAACTATATATTTGCCTAATATTTAAAACTTGCAGGGGTCAAAACAGCTGCTGAAAAACATTGACCCCCAATATTTTCCTTTGCATCTGAAGTGATTCTTCATGAATCCAATCTTCCTCTGCATATTCACTAACCACAAGATTCCGAAATGACGATGATGTCATTTCATTTCACAGAGTTCATTTTCTTAGAAGCAGAAATATAAATATTCAGTTCCTCAGCTTTATCTCATCTATCTTTTTTATGTGAATTTTTAGTTTCTCAGGGAGTTTCTTTCATGATTTGATTGGCATGTATGTCCCCTCCCCCAGATCTCTCCACCTCACTCCTAACCCGAATTGCTTATTCCAACTTTTCAACAGTTCTCATTTTATAGTCACAGAAATTACATCTGAAAAGAAAAAATCGACTAAAGCTGATAGACTGAGTAAAAAAAAAGGCTTAATAAAAAATGTTTTAAACTCATGTATTTGATTTGTCACTGGCTCCCCCTCCCCCACTTTATTTGATGAACAAGTAGTTTCAGAGCTGTTTTCCTTAAGTACAGGAATGGAAAAAAGGAAATGGTGAATACAGATTTAGACTAGGTCAGGCTGGGTTTATAATTAATTCCACCATGATGCACATGAAACCAGGAGGAACAGTTGTTTGTTTTTCCGTATGACATTAGTCAGTGACTGGGACTATCACTAAGGTATATACCACAATCAAACATAAGGCTGGGGTTGGGGGAGGCTCTTGAACACCAAGACTAAGTATCCATCCCACCCATCACAAAGCATTGCAACCAACAGCAGTTTGAGGGTTCAAATATGAATTAGCAACCCCATATTGCCCCAAGCTCATAAGGAAGTAGCCATCCTGTGCATGTGAAATGCTTCATTTCTCATAAAGATTATTTCTGGTGACTCACGGACTCACATTCCAATTTATAAGTTTAAATTGCTTGTAACCCATCTCAAAGTGTTTCCAGAATGTTTTTACTAATAAAGGTTCCAGGCATCAAAGATTAAAAGATAATAAAATATAATTCACTTCCATAACCTTTCTCCATGCAAATACCTTCCATCATATACACGTACTCTCAGCTTACCTCCTCCATACCTCCCCCCATCTATGAAATAGTAAAGCAACCCAATAAGAAGATCCAACCAGAATTAAACATAACTTGTGGAGTAGGCAGTTTCAAACATGACACCCTGTGACTTCCGCCTCTTGGTAGTCACATCCTTATACAAGCCCTTCCCCTTGAGTAAGAGTTGGACCTAGTGACTGGCTTCTAATGAACAGAATACGGCAAAAATGATGGAATGTACCTTCTGATTAAGTCACAAATCTGCAACTTAATCTCTCCTACCTTGCTCACTCTCTTTTACTCTCTTACTCACTCTGAGGGATGCCAGCCACCTTGTTGTAAGATGGAGACATGGCAAAGAACTAAAAAAGGTCTCCAGCCAACAGCAAGCCAGGAATGTAGGCCCTTGGTCCAGCCACGTGTGAGGAATTAAGTCTTGCCAACAACCACATGAACTTGGAAGTGAATGCTGTCCTCAACTGAGCCTTCAGATGAGGCTGCAGACCCAGCCAACAGTTTGGATGCCACAACGATAGGACTTTGAGCCAGCTAAGGTGCACCCAGATTCCTGACTCAAAGAAACTGTGAGGTAAACCATGTTTGCTATTTTAAGTAGCTAATTCGTTACAAGCCATGCATAATTAACACAATTAGTATTCAACTTGCTTTAAAAATGTGATGCTTTATAAGTGGGGCCAAAAACATAATCATTCTCCTCACATTTGGCAGCTACGTGAGTCCATCACTTGACCTGGCTTTAACGTGGGGGAAATGGTGATTATGGGTCACTACAAAGGTGCAGCAAATACCTTGGAAGGGGGTGGGACATCAGGAAAGAGGAATTACAGTTCCAGTATTTCACTCTCAGAAGAATTTCAACTGCTCTCTTCAGAGCCTCATACTCACTTTCAGTGCATCCCCTTCATTGCCTTCCACTACTTCCAGAATTAGAGCGGCCAGGATGTTAAAGCCTTGGCAGTACCCAACATTCTTGTTCCATCGGGCATAGGCCAACAGGACCCGTTTTAACACAACCCTGTCCTGCTCAGCCTCCTGGCCACAGTAAGAACTGCAGCCTGTGCGGTGAAGATCCTGAAGAAGGCAAACAATATTTTTTTTTAAATGGCTCCTTATATTCTCTCCAAAAAATGACTTTAATTATAACTCTGCCTCAGCATTAAACAGAATCAGATTATCAGCATGGATTTTAGTTTTTAAAAATGTTTATGTACCCTATACACATGGGCGAAAACAATTTTTTGAATTTTTCCTAATGTTTTCTAATATGCTAAGATACATTTTTTTCCAGTTTTATTGAGATGTAGTGGACTTATTAGAACATTGTCAAGGGGAATTTCAGTCAGGCAAATTTTCTAAACTTCTTTATAATTTTCTGTTAAAATTTAAAGTGTTTCCAGAATACAAAAATGACTCAGAATTAACAAAAATTACATTATAGTTCTATATAAATTGACAGTTTAATACTATGTCTCAGATAAAACAAGAGTCATTTCAACACATGTAGGACAGATGCTAACATTATTCCTTTCTCTGAAACACAATGTAATATCCAGCTATCAAAACTCTAAATAATATTAAGGAGAAACCATCCAGATTCCAGCCAGTCTGGGCCTGGGATTCATATCACGGGTCTGAAGGTGATGTGATGTCAAGGCAAACAGTGACAATAAGAACCCATTATTTCCAGTGAGCTACTGAAAAGACATTTTTAAAGAGACAGCACTAATTATCTTTCAAACGAGAGGTTATTAACTAGAAATCTCCCTAAATACTTTCATCGTCTTGGAAAGAACGATAGACTTCTTTGTGCTGTTACCTTACTAGCAACACTCACCCTGGATCAGTTAGGTATCCTGAGATACATGCAGGTGAATGACAGAAGGAAAGGGGGAAAAAAAAAGATCTCCAGCTGCCAGCATTTATTTTAAATCCTTAGCACTGCATCTAAATGGTATGGTAAAAATGTAAATTCCAGGTATGAGCTGTTGTTAGGAAGGCACCTACAAAGAGCCTCCTCTGTGCGGACCAGAAGAATTGAAAGAAAAATTGCCATTAAGTACATATCATATCATATCAGTTCAGGAATCAGTTAATGTTGATGTTGTCAAACTGGATCAAAGAAATGAACTGGCAATATGTAAAAAAAAAAAAAAATAGCAAAAATGCAATCTGTACTGTAGAGAGACAGGAAAATCATTCTGTCCAAGACAGAAAAATCTATCCAAATTGTTTTATAAATTTGTATAAAAAATACAGAAACATCTCTTGTACTTTCATATTTAATGAGGGCAATATATATAATAACTAAGCAGAGACTATGATTTTCAGGAGCTAATGTCATTTTACTGACACAGCATTCACTTCAATGAGAAAAATGAAAGATCCTCTTAATAACATGATTGTTATAAAATGTATACCGCTTTAACTCACAACTTAAACAGAGAGAAAATATTTCAAATATGGAATGCTTCATCTCTGAGAAATATTCTGAAATCCCAAATATACAGCTGAAATATGGATAGTGCCCAGGCTTTTAAAACATACAAAATAGAATTTCATCATTGTTTTTAATATTTGTCTGAAACGGACCAAGTTAGGTCACAAAGTAGCTCCTTTCAGTTAGTACTTCTTCATGAAAAAAGTATCTTCAAATCTGTCAAAACCTTAACCAAATTTTGGTGACCAAAATTTATGAGAGACAACTTCCCTTTTAAAACCCCAGCCTAGCGTTACAGTGTAATGAACTCATATAAAATCAAAAGCCATGTGCTAGAGGCTTATGTAAGAGAACAAGAGTGGGATCAAATTGAATCAGCAACCTTGGCTTTTGGCAACAGGCCCTAATCAATTGTAATAATCCCAGTAGGCAAATCACAGCTGCCTCCACAGCTGGCCTGAACCCTTGACCATCTGGTTTTAAGTAGATCCATCAATCTATCTTCATAAATCGGCAGTCAAGAAATTATCAAAGACCCTAATAAGAACCCAATTATTCTAATATGAAATATACTTAACTTTAAATTTCCCAACCTGTAACTTTTATGTAAAAATCCGGCTAACAGCACTGACCCATGCTAAAGAAAGAAATTTCAATCTCCTATCAAGTGAGCAAGATAAATAAATAGAACATGAGTAGGAACATTTTCTTCTTACTGCCAACATGCAAATTTATGAAAACAAGACATAGTCAAAGTTCCCATTAAAAGGCTGTTAACTAATGGAAAAAGAAAGTAGAATATATACGGACATTCAGACCATAAGGTTTGATCCTCTGTCCAGGGAACATCTGGCTCTTAGAAACCTCCTTCTAAGTCAGGACAACAGGCCAAACTCAGGGGCCTTACCTTGACTATCTGAATTCCCATCGAGTCATCATCAGGATTACTCCTTTCATTGAAAGTGAAGCGCATGGTTTTGTCCCAATCAATAGCTATACTGTGCAAATAATGATCTGCCAAGGTCAACCAAACCTAAAATATTAAGAGATAAAGAAGAACGCTAACGTAAAATATATAATTTCACCTTTCTTTGTTAAAAAATAGTTATTGCATCTAACAAGAAAATGGGAACTGATCCTAGACCAAATAAAGCCCACAAGTAGAAATCAACTTTTCATTGAAATGTCTGCCATACTGAATTGCACCAATTAGGGTCTTTCATTTATTCTTTCCATTAATATTTGTTGAGTTCCTACTATGCACCAAGCAATGATTCAGCCATTAGGGATACTCTTAAGAAAAAAAATTTTTCAACTCTCATTTCAGTTCACTGGATTAGCTATATTATCTTCTGAGCTTGTTATATCTGGCTCGGAATTGCTCTCTGTACTTGGCAATTCATGGAGAATGGGTCTTTTTTCACCATGAAGCGGACTCTGCCTTTAAATCATCCTTCAATCTCTATCACACACGCAAAACTGACAGATGGGGTCCCATAATGAATAACTTTTTTAAAAGAGTCACTGGATATTTTTATTCCTTTGATTACTTTATCCTGAAAAGCTGTTTCTGTAAGATTTTTAATGTATATTTTTAGGAATGCCCAATGTTCAAATTCTAGGGGTATTAAGACTAGGTTTATAAATTAATATACTAAGAAAGCATTTCGAGTTTTAGTATTTGAACATACTTTAGCAGGAATAACACTGATCAATATCCCCAGCCAGATTTTTCCCCCAAGCATCAGAATCACATACCTTATATTCAATCTAACAGGAATCCATGTCAACTCAGCCTTCAAAATATATCTAGGCTGTGACCCCTTTTCTCCATCTCCACTACTGCAACCCTGATCCACCTCTTAGCTGAATTATCCCAAGTCTTCCATTGATCTCCCTGCTTCTGCCCTTGTCCATCATATTATCAAGCCAGAGAGGCCCATTTAAAACATAAGTTTTATCATGTTGCTCCCCAGCTCAAAACTTCCCAATGCTTCCCATCTCAGACTAGGCAAAGGTCCTACTATGCCCTATAAGGTCTACATGATCTGCCATCCCTTTACCCCTATCACCTTTACCTCTATAACCCGCTCTCCAATTGCTTTCCCCTTTGTTCACTGTGCTTCAGTCACCCCGGCCTCTTGCTTTTGCTTGCACACTCCTGAGGTGCTCTCACTAGAGGGTGTTTCCTCTGTTTGCAGTGCTCTTCCCTCAGGCAGCTGCCTCCCCAGCCGCTCACCTCCATCAGGGCCCCATTCAAATGTCACCTTAAAATTAAAATTCCACCTCCTTACCTCCATTCCCCTACCCCCACCTGGCTCTCCTCATTTCTTTCTCTGCTTTATTTTTATGCATGGCACTTATCACCATCTGACATACTTTATACTGTACTCATTGTAAACTCCATGAGGACAAAAACCTTGGTCTGTTTTTTTTATCCTCCCACTACTGTATCCTCCGTACCTGGAACAGTCCCTGGCACAGAATCGATAATCAATAAATGCTTATTAAATGAATTAATAATGAAGAGAGACAGCTTTCAAATTACTAAATCTAGAATATTCTTTTGGACACTTCAGACATTTTAAAGAGGAACAGAGTGCTGATCATTTTGTACTTTAGCCCTCTGAATCCTCCTTACCTTTCTCCTCCATTCCTTCGGTATTCCTGTTGATAGTCTGGCAACTGCCTTGAGAGCATCATACCACTAGGAACACAGGAGAAACATTGGCAAAGTGATAATATTGACCTGGATAAGCACTTTTCAACCTTTTTCCTATTTTGACATCCAGAGAGTATGATAAAATTTGTACAGCACACTGAGGTAAACAGAGCTTCTTTCAGCCAGGCTCCAAGGGCTGCCCAACCCCAACCTTAGGCACTCTTAATACACCTGGGACCCATGTGCACACACAATGGCTGGGAAGCTCTAGTTCAGAAACAAAAACATGTATTACGGATTCAGAATAATAGATATTCGGTTTTTTTAATTTTTTTTCACACTTGTACCAGTAATAGCAAGTACAAAATTTTTTGTTGCAGATACAAATCCAGGCCACTTGTAGGCTTGTAAGCTAATTTATCTATAATTTTAAAAATGGACTCACCTTATGTGTCAAAGTATACACTAATTGTCCTACTTTGAGAATATATCTTAGTGTACCTTGTAGATACCCCCAAATAAGAGTATTTTCAAAAACCAAAAATAGTTACCTGCTGAAAACCATTTTGACCTAAAGATGGCTCAAGAGTGAACTTCAACTTTGTGTCAACTCCTAAAAGAAAAATATATAACTGTTATTTTGGAAGAAAATAACAAGTTAGGTCAAAAATAAAAGTAAAAATTAATGTGATTCTACTGAGTCATCATAAAATTCTTAAAACATATTTTTACTAAATTGTAGTCAATTTTGCTAAAATAAAAGGTAATAATATTGATTTCTAAAATAGAAAAATATCCCAGGGCCACTAGAATAGAGCTTATCACATAGAATGGTGGCTTCCACGGTGGTCTGGAGTAGTGTAAAAAAACCAAAATCATGACACCACAGACTTGGAGTCACTCAGATCCCCCACTCAACTTTGATTCCTAGTGTCAAACAAATTAACTTGTCTCAGTCTCAATTCTTTTTTTTTCTTTTTTGAGAGAGAGAGAGGACATGGGGGGGGGCAGGGGGCAGAGGGACAGGGAGAGACTCTTACGCAGGCTCCATGCCCAGAGCAGAGCCCAGGCGGGGCTGGATCTCAGGACCGTGAGATCATGACCTGAGCCGAAACCAAGAGTCGGTGGCTTAACCGACTGAGCCACCCAGATGCCCCTCAATTCCTTATCTTTAAAATGAAGACAATATCTATCTCAGTAGATTGTTGTGACGTTTAACTATAAATCACCCAGCAGAGTATAATTAATATTTATGAAACTTAGGAAGAGAATTCTCTACTTACAGACTTTGTTTTCTAAGACATGTGCATGGACTAAGTCTATGAAGGAAACTTCAGTGAAATATTAAAAGTTATAAAAATAATATCACTGTCACACTACATCAAAAACTAATGATGTATGGTGATTAACATAATTTAAAAAATGAAGAATAAAAGGAAAAAAATAATATCACTGTCTTCTCACTTGTGGAATAATCCACGTTAACAATCTTATTTGAAGATTTTCATGTTATCTTAAAATTCTGTCATGATACACTTGCTCATTGAAGATAAAACAGTTGGTATGTTTAATCATAGACTACAAGCTAAAAATATAACTGAGCTCTAATTCCAAGTTGTCTACAACTTTAAATAAACTTCTTTGATTCCAATCCCAAATCTAAGGAAGAGAAGAAAATAAATAGGAGAGGGGCACCTGGGTGGTTCATTCGTTAAGCATCTGCCTTCAGCTCAGGTCATGATCCCAGGGTCCTGGGATCGAGCCCCGCATCGGGCTCCCTGCTCAGCGAGAAGCCTGCTTCTCGCTCTCCTGCTCTGCCCTGCTTGTGTTCCCTCTCTGGCTGTCTCTTTCTTTGTCAAATAAATAAAATCTTAAAAAAAAAATGGGAGAATATATCAAGACAATGTGCTTATAATATACAAAGACTATATGCTATATTCATACTGGGCTTTTATTCAGAATCCCATGTTAGAAGTATGTGCTGTTGTTCCTGAAGTGAAATTACATGACAATTTTTATTCCCGTGTAAATTTTATTAAAATAATATAATCAAATCTGAAAATGTTATATGTTCTTTTTCTATAATCTCAAAATCAATTAAATCATATTTCAGGTCACCTTTTTAAAGACTTATTACTTAAAAGTTCAAGGATCAAGATATACCAAACATTATTAATAGCATTTCAGTTTTACAATTTATGATTAATTATGACAATATGTTTGCTTCTAAGATGTTGATTGCAGAGTAGGCATACTGAAACCCTCCCCACAACTTCCACTGCTTAGGAGTTGGTATGTAGATAGAAACGATCTTCAGAATTTAAAATTACAATAATAAAGTAGACTTGTCCTTTTTAAAAACATATATATATGGAGTCAAGAAGCTGGAAAGAGATGTATATGATTTGCCCAAGCCCATGACAGTATGCAGATGCCCTTCTTGGGAGTCCTGGAAGAGTACTATGAATACAAGAGTTGGGTCCTAGATTTCTAAAGTCAAGCTGTGGTACAGAATCCCAGGCATCCAATCAATGCCCTGATGTCTTTTCAAGGCTTCAGGGCCACATATTCTGCCTAAATAGATTAGATTTCCTTCCCCAAGGGTATATCAAGTACCCTTGCAAATTCTCATCTCTCTGAGGTGGTTTAAATAAAGTCCTGCCTCAGTGCAGAGCAATGACACAATGGCCACATGATTGCCTACAGCTGGAGCAAATGATTTAAGGCACTATGAGAAACACTTTGTTGTAAGGCTGCTGTCCAGATGCGGGGTGCTGAACGGAGGAGCATATCGTCATGACTTTTGCTTTATTGTAACAAAGGCAAGAGAATTCGATCCCGCGCTGACTTATTTCAACTGACCTAAAAGCTCTGGATTCCCTGTCTGTATGACCGAATACGCTCCCTTGGCTTTTTCAGAGCACCTGCTGGGCATCAGGTTCTGAAAACCGGCTGGGGTTAGTCTAAACTATTTTCTCATGATCTAAAATGAGTCACAGGATTTAACTGGAATTGATCATTCACCACCTGCATGCGATTGCTGTAATCAGGTCATTTTCCCCTCTTTTCTTCTGAGTAAGGCAGGGGAGAAGGTTTATGTTTCATCTGCTAGTCACGGCTGTTCCGGATTCAGAAATACAAAACACTTTTACGTGGGAAGGAGATTTTTTTTAAGGGCAAAGGAAGATGGTGAATAAAAACTACAGTCTCTGCAATTAGACACTTCCTTGGGGAGAAAAACAAAGAAACCACAAGGTTCGTAAAGGCAGTCACGCGTTCCACCCTTTAGGGTTCCGCGCCTCGTCAGATTTTCTCCAGCAGCCTCAGGATAGCAGGTCCCCGGTGGCGCTGGGAGGCAGGGGCTGGAGAAGGACAAACTCGCCCGGAATCCCGCTGGTGCCACGCTGGGGACAAGCGAGCGGCGCTAAGCACCGATGAGAGTGCAGCCGGCTCCCTCTGCGGCCATCCCTTGCCGGAAAGCTCTCTGCCCAGGCGCTCGCGCCAAAGCCGGGCCCATAAAAACCCCAGGGAGGGATGCTGGGTGGTGGAGCAGACGCGGGGTTATGCAGCCTAGAGAAGAAGGGATGTGTAAACACAAGCTAGCAGCATAAAGGGCCTAGCCTAGCACGCAAGCGCGCTCCCGGACTTTGGCTCTAAGAAAGAACCTCTACTTGCAAGTGTTTCCTACCCGTTCCCCACACGGACACACAAATTAAGAGGCTCCAGGCGAGCTGACCCTGGCACGCCGCACAGACCCTCAAGAAAATGCACCCGATTTTTCCTTCGCAGCCGCTGCCTTCCCCTCCGTCCCCAAGTATCAAACCCGTGCCTTTCTCCACCTCACACACCTCTTTCAAGATCTGGCTTCCTGCGAACCCGCTGCACAATTGGTTGCACGGCCTCTGGTAGCCTGGGTAGCCGCCCGCACTGCCCCACCACGCGCACAAGGCCGAGCGCACCGCTCGCCGGCAGCTCCCGGCACAAACAGGGCTAGACCGCGCACAGGCCGCGGGGTCGGGACCCTCCGGCGGGAGCCGGCGGCAGCGGGTCCTCCCAGCCTTGGGAGGCCGCTGCCCGCGCCCAGGCCTCCGTCCGCGCTCTTCCCTCCCAGACCGACCCAGCCCCGCCTGCGCGGAGCCGCGGTACCCCGCACCGAGCGGCCCGCGAGCGCTCCCCCGCCTAGGCGGAGTCCAACTGAGGCAGAGGCACCAGCTCCGGGGCGCCACGCTACTTTCCAGTGCCCCATCTGCAGCCCCGGGTCCTCACCCGGCTCCAGGGTGCAGAGCAGCCGGGGCGCGGTCCGAGAAATGCAGCTGCGCTTTTTGAGCACATTGCTCAGGATGGTGCCCACGCCGCCGCCGCCGCCGCCACCACCACCCTGCCGCTTCAGGCATCTCCCTCCGCGCCTCAGGGAGCCGGTCAGCTTGTCCTGCCGCATTCGAGAGCGCCCCGGGCTCCGGCGCGGCCACCGTCCGCCTGGGTCCCCGCTGCCCCGCCGGCGTAGCCGCTTCTCGCGCCGGACTTGGCGAGTCCGCTTAGTCGAGGGCCCCTCCGGAGCAGCGAATGTGCGGCCGGCGTTCTGGGGAACCGCTGGAGCCGCCGAGCGCGGGGCTATCAGCAGGCATCTGCAGTGCGGAGCCTGCAAGGCTGAGGCAGGAGAGGGCTTGGGGCGGGGAAGAGGGCGGGAGCGAGCGAGCGCGCGGGAGACTAAGGCGGTGCTCCCGCCCCCAATCCCGCCATCACTGTGCGCAGGCGGGGCGGCCCTAGCTCCCCGGCGCCCAGCTGGCTCCTGCCACCTGCGCCCTGGAGTGGCAGAGCGGCGGAGCCTGGAACCCCCGGAGCCTGGGAACTGGAGAGCGGCCGGGTGAACAACTGCGCCCGGGGACCAGAAGCAGCGGGAGATTCTGTGCTTTTCCCAAGATCTGGGAGGGGCGGGGGGGGCGGGGGGGGCGGGGGGAAGTCTCAGGTGCAGAACATCAGAGAGACGCAGGTGCCCACCTAACCAAACAGCGTCAGAAGGGACAGTTAGCGGATCGAAAGACGAATCTGGCGAATCTGGCGGCGTGGCAGAGAAGCTGACAGATGGTGAAGCACAAGCTTCATCCCAAATTGAGTTAAACTCTTTCCTAGCAGCTCAGAGAGGCATGGAAAACACGTAAAAAATAATAATACTGGTTGTTTCTCTTGGAAGAATAAGACTTCAAGAAAAAAAGTGTTCACATTTAAAAGCAGTGTTTTTTTAAAGTGCTTCCTCATCTCTCCAGCCGGAGACTTAAGTAGTTTAGAACCATTAACTATTACTGTTTAAAAAAAAAAAAGTCATTCTTAAACTATGACATTAACCAATCGAATATTAATCATAAAAATGAATGAGGAATAAGGAAGGAAAGGATGTGGAAGGAAATAGAGACATTTGTATTTGCTAATATTTAGAAAAGGAACACTACATGGATAAATCAAAACTAAAAAGTATTTATATGGGAGGGAACAGTGTGGAAGAGAGGAAAACTGAGAGGTATTCTGGATGTGCCTTATATAGTTTTCACTCTGGAATAACATATTAATAAAAAGAAAAAATGAAAAACAACCTAACTGAATATCTTGTCAGTAACACAAAAATACAGAAAAAATTAAGTTGCTTTAGAATACAGTATTATGACTGTACATTAAGGGCAAATAGAGCTGCAAAGAAGTCTTAAATGTCAATAAGTAGCATTGTTATTTATGATATTGATTTTTTTAATTCTTATGTACACTACAGCAAATAATTATGTTAATGTCAAAAGGAACCAAGATCTTTTCAGTGTGACAGAAAATACAAGTGTACAAAGAAGTTAAGGTTTTTTAAATCCTGCAACATTATATTTAAATTGGAAATACTAGTATGAACTCATTTCTTTTTTCCTTTTTTTTAACGTCTCCAGACATTGTCAAATGTCTTTAATTTTTTTTTTTTTAAGATTTTATTTATTTGAGAGGAAGAGAGAAAGAGAGCACAAGTGGGGATAGGGGCACTATCTAGGAGAGGGAGGCGGAGAGGGAGAAGACGACTCCCCGCGCAGGGAGCCCTGGGTGAGGGGGAGTGGAGAGGCTCGATCCCAGGACCCTGAGATGATGACCTGAGCCAAATGCAGCTGCTTAACGGACTGAGCCACCCAGGTGCCCTTTTTTTTTTTTTCCAAAATACATACACAGGTGATCCTTGAACAAGGAACAAAGGGGAGTTAGGGGTGTAAACCTTCCCTCCTCCCCTCCCACAGTGGAAAATTTGCAAATAAATTTTGACCTTCCAAAAACCTTACTAATAGCCTACTATTCACCAGAACCCTTACCAGTAACATAAACAGTCAATCAGCTCATATTTGGATGGGGCGCCTGTAGAGTATGCAACTCTCGGTCCTGAGTTCCATGTTGAGTAAATAGCTTACTTTTAAAAAAAATTAATTCCTGAAGTGCTTGGGTGGCTCAGTCTGTTGAGTGGGGACTCTTGGTTTTGGTTCAGGTATGATCTTGAGGTCTTGGGATCTGCCAGGCAGTGTTGGGTTCCATGCTCAGCCCAGAGTCTGCTTCAGATTCTCTCTCCTTCTCCCCCTCTGCCCCTCCCCCAGCCCATACGCTCTCTAAATAAAATCTTTAAAAAAAATTAATTGCTATGCAAACTTTTGGGGCACCTGGCTGGCTCAGTTGGTGGAGCATATGACTCTTGATCTCAGTGTTGTGAGTTTGAGCCCCACATTGGGTGTAGATAGTACTTAAAAAAATAAACACTTTGGTATGTTATATGTATTATATATGTATTCTTACAATAAAGCTAGAGAAAAAAATCTTAATCATACAGAAGAGAAAATGTATTTACAGTACTTCTTAAAAAAAAATCCACTTATAAGTGGACCCATGCAGTTCAAACCCATGTTGTTCAAGGGTCAACTGTATACCCACTAAGTAGGTTTAGAACTAAGGATAACCCAACAGCGATGAGTACCTGCAGCATCCAGGTTGTGATCTCCAAAAACCATTCCCTGCTAAAAAGAACCAGGGCTCCTTCGAAGGGTGACTGATTCTAGGTCTGAGCCAGAAAAAAGTGTAAGATGAGCCTGAACCATTTTGATGAGCTAAGGAAGTAAGGAAGTACTCCAAGACTAACGGGGTCATGTCAAAAGGACATAAGAGCCACATGAATAGGCTACTATTGGCCAAAGATGGAAAATTTCGAGCATCAAAAACAATGGCTGCTATTGATTGAAAAGTATTGAATATTTTTTAATTGCATTCCTAATGAGACTCTGAAAGAGCTAGAAAAGAAGTCATTCCTATGACTCTGGCATACTTATTTGGTAGTCAGTAATTTCTGGGCTCTGTGAAGTAGCCCAGAATTTGAAGACAATGTCAGAATTGACACAACTCTAAGCATGAAATATACATTTCATATATAAGAATCTGTTACAATGAGATTGTTAATCTGCAAAAGTAAACCTGGCTCAGATGGGATATATAACCTACTCAGTCACACCTGCCCCACCAGAGGAAAAGTGCTTTGAAAAGGCAATACTCTGCCTCATCACTTGAGAAGATGAACTCATTGTTTAACCTGGTCATGATTTACTGCTTGGCTTAGATTTCCCAACATTCTACACCAAGCTCGGGTACAAAAATCTATCCTTCATCAGCCTGATGATTTCATAGTTTCAGTACATGTTCATTTCTTTAGCTTTCTCTTAATTTTAATAAGATGTCCATTGACTATTTCAGCTTATCTCAGCTGTGCTGAGAACAATAACAGAAATAGAACTGATGTTTGGCTTTGGCCAATTTTTTAGAGGGCACCAGAGGCCCCTGAGGGTGAAGATGGTGATTAACGGCCAGAATCAAAGGAAGAGAACTGGAAAGAGAGGGAAAATCCGAAAACAAGCTGGTGTCTGCATGCACAGTCTCGTCTTCCAGAGCTCTCATCTGCTCAAACCTTAGAGGGTTTTGTGTTCTCTTTTAACAAGAGAAGCTATTCACACTCCGTTTCCAGCACTGGGCCAGCAGGAAAGACAGCCTCAGCAGCCAAGAGGAGGAGCAATGGGCCCTGCTCTACAATAGTGCCTCTGGAGGGGAAAGGACATCCAGCTCCCACAGCTGGCTGACATATGCCGCTCAGAACACCCCCCACTTTGGCTCTGACTCCATGCTAACCAAGCAAACACTGAACATCATCTGACTTCCCATAGATTTTGCTGCAAAGGAGAGAATGTACAGACTGGTTAACAGCACGTCAATAACCCTGAATTCACTCAATTTTCAGGGAGCTGAGGAAATCGAATTTCTGGACCGCCAAAGTAGAATCTAGACCCTAGATTGCCAAGCCACCTAGATGTGTCATGGCTGACAAAAAGCCCTCTCCTTGAAACTCTTCTTCAGGTACTTTTTTTGCCATTAGTAACAGGGGCTTGTTGATAAAAATTCTATTTTACCTCAGATTTATCACAAGGAAAAACTGACTCTTTAAAAAAGAAAAAAGTTTTGGGCGCCTGGGTGGCTCAGTTGGTTGAGTGACTGCCTTCGGCTCAGGTCGTGATCCTGGAGTCCCGGGATCGAGTCCCGCATCGGGCTCCCCGCTCAGCGGGGAGTCTGCTTCTCCCTCTGACCCTCTTCCCTCTCGTGCTGTCTGTCTCTCACTCTCTCTCTCTCAAATAAATAAATAAAATCTAAAAAAAAAAGAAAAAAAAACACAACACACTCAAGCACAGAATGGAACAACACTTAAAAAAAAGAAAGAAAAAAGTTTCTGGGGTGTCTGGTTGGCTCAGTCAGTTATGATTCTTGATCTCAGCTTAGATCTTGATCTCAGGGTTGTGAGTTCAAGCCCTGCACTGGGCTCCATGCTGGGTGTGGAGCCGACTTAAAAAAAAAGTTTCCTTGAAAACTTCCCATTCCCATTCTAAACTACATAGAAATGGAAAACAGCAAAAAAAAAAAAAATTAAAAGTTTCTACTATTATACCAATAAGCAGTGAGGGAATTAAGTAATATTATTTTGTTTACATTGGAGAGGAAAGCCAAGATTGCCAACTTTTATAGCAAACAGATAATTAAACAAGCACTAAAATACAATGGTTTAAAAGCAGTCATGGCACAAGCCTAGTATTATACTTACTGTATGACTCATAGTTTCTTATTCATGTCTGGAATATTGTTTTCTAGAAGCAAAAGATGTCACCTAAAGTCAACTTGCAGCAGAAACAATGCCAGCACGAATTTTGCTTGAAGCTCTCGGGTGGTGAGATTTACAGCCAAGGCCAACTTCACCTCCCTCTTTACTAATCAGGTGATCTTTGCTAATCAAATAACATCAGTGAATTCACAGTTGGGCAGATCGTACCTTGGCCCAGTCCAGGGCACTTACAATTGAAACTGAATTTGGGGAAAGGCAGGCTTGGTGAACACTTCACACTG